TTAAGGACACCCTGGAGAGTTTAGAACTTCATTACTACTTATGAGTCATTTCTGGGCAGGCCAACCTAGTTGTGGCAGGACTAAGGGGGAGGGACATGCTATGTGTGTTCGTGTGTGTGTGTGTGTGTGTGTGTGTGTGTGTGTAGGATGTCCCCAGGCTTGCACTGCCCATGCTGGCCTGGTGTGATGGGCTTTTGTAGCTGCTGACCCCTATTCCTGTCTAGATACCTGGCTGAGTCTGTACTTTCTTTCACCGTCCCTGGTTCAGATATTCGTATTTGACCAAAATCTGATGAGATTTTAATACTATTTTTTAAAAGCATTGCCCACATGTGGTATAAAAATTCTCTTCTCCACTGCAGCCTCAGCCCTCTCCCTATGGGGAGTTGAGGTTACCCATCTCTTGAGTCTTTCCAGAGATATTCAATCCATATGCAAGCCTATGTATGTTTGTATGTGTGTTCCAGTCTCCAGTATGTTTTGTTAATTTAATAGAATGTTACTCATAGCTATGGTTAAATCAATATCCAGGGTTCACATTTTTTGTGGCTGTGGAAATTCCGTTTTCAGCTGAATCATGTAATATACTATAATTATATTTTACTTCTTGTCTTAGTCCATTTTCTGTTGCTTATGACAGAATACCTGAAATCAGGTAATTTATAAAGAAATGCATTTTTTTTTGTTAGCGGTTTTTGGCCGGGGCTGGGTTTGAACCCTCCACCTCCGGCATATGGGGCCGGCACCTACCTCCTTGAGCCACAGGCGCCACCCAAGAAATGCATTTCTTACAATTATAGAGGCTAGGAAGGTCAAGGAGGCCCATCTGGTAGAGCTTCTTGCTGGTAGAGATTCTTCAGAGTCCTGAGGTGGCACAGGACATATCATATGGCAAGGGGGCTGAGTGTGCTCACATGCCATGTCATGCCTCTCTTCCTTTCATAAAGCCATTGGTCCCACTGCCCTGGTAACTCATTAATCTGTTAATCTAAGAATTGATTGATCCACTCTTGAGGGAGAGCCATTATGACCTATCACCTCTTAAAGGTCCCACGTCGCCCTACAGCCACATTGGGGGTTAAGTCTCAGCGTGGGCTTTGGAGGGGACATTCAAACGATAGCTCTTCTTGGGTAGCTTTTTGATATTCCTGAATTTACTAGTTGCCTAAGTACCAGTCACTCATTCTTCCCTAAACTCTAAAGAACATTTGCATCTCCTCTCCCAATGATGAAAATTATTAGGATTGGCCATGTCGGCTACTACTCTGGGGTCCCCTCCTCCTCCTGAGGTCCAGCCCTTGTTTCATGCAGCCCAGGTCCTTTTACCTCTTGGCTTTCTCTTCCTCACTTTGGCAAAGAGCCCATCCTCCACTAACTAACTGGGATTTGCATGTGTGATGCCATTTTTCCAGCCTTACCTTGAGGTAGTTTGGCTAGAGACAGAATTCATAAAGGAAAACAAGTCCTGTTATAATTTTGAAGTCATTGATATATTTCCTTTGAGTTTCCATTTGCTCTTGAGAAGTAGGATGCTAATATAATTCACTAGCGAATAGTGTGCTTCTCTTCACATTCTCTTAGCGTTGTAACATCCCCGATGAAGCCTTTCAGTGAGTTTTTCTCTCCATTGTGCTGCTCACCCAGGGGCCTGTTTAGGAAAGACCTTTATCCTCAGTTCTGGAGTGTTTTCTTCATCCTCCCTCTCCAGTCCCCCGTCTGTGTTCTCTCTGGAACTCCTCTCAGTCGTTGGGATGTCCTGATTGCTATTCTCAGCTCAGAGTCTTACAGGCTGAGTTCCTCAGCCTCCTGTTGCTGGAGGAGACCCAGGGACAGCCTCTCCTCTCGTCTCCAGCCCTCCCCTACACCCACCTTCACAGTGGGAGCCTTTCCTTGGATGTCTGGCAAGTAACAAGTAGAATGTCGTATGGAAAATCTTTGCTGCAGTTTAGGTGGCATGGGTCTGGACTTGCTGGTTAATGCAGGTATCTGTCCTCACCAGGTGATTGCTAAGCTCTCCTTGACATGAATGACTGAAGACAAAGTTTGGTCACGTTCCCTTTGTGCTCTGCATGTTCCTTTTCTGTTTCTGGGCTGAATCTTCCTTGCCAAGTGTTTTCAGGTTCTCCCAGACATTTTATGTGTTCAACTTCTACAGCCCAGGTGTGCTGCCGCACTGTTAATCCATGCCTGATCTTTTTTTTTTTTTTTTTTGAGACAGAGTCTCACTATGTGGCCCTCGGTTGCCTTGGCATCACAGCTCATAGCAACCTCAAACTCTTGGGCTCAAGCAATTCTCTTACCTCAGCCTCCCAGGTAGCTGGGACTATAGGTGCCCACCATAACACCTGGCTACTTTTTGGTTGTAGTTGTCATTGTTGTTTGGCAGGCCCAGGCTGGGTTCAAACCCACCAGGTCTGGTGCATGTGGCCAGTGCCCTAGTTACTGAGCTACAGGCACTGAGCCATGCTTGATCCTTTCTCAGGTTTGCTGGCATTGCTCAGGATTTCTGACACTCCTCATAGGTGTGCTTTGTCCTGGGGTGGGTGCAGCCCTGTTGGTCTGTCTTCCCAGGGCTGTGTACTGCATCCCACTCTGGCCTTCACTTTCTCTTTGGTCCTGATGGAAGCCTGCTGCCATGCTGGACTCTGAGCCAGGACCACTCTTCCAAGGCACTAGTATCTTCTGCCTGTCCAATCTCATGGTTCACTCCATGTAGCCTTGCCTTGAGAAAATGATGCTCTTCTAAAGTAGACTTGTGAAATATGTAGGAAGGACTCCCTCCTCAGAAGCCTTGGTTGTTTTTGGTGCTGCAGAGATTAGACTAGTCAGCCCTAAAGAATCTTGAGGAACTGCTGAAAGCCAGGGTCACCACTCAGCCACCAGTCTTCTCCCCCCATGGGCGTCCTAGACACAGGATTCTCTCCCTCTTTCTTCAACCCTTTTCTGTCATCATGACATCCAAGAGGTTGCCGGGGGAGGGTAAGCTAGTCCCTTATTTGACCTGTGAAGTCCCCTTCAAGTTTGTCCTGCTGATCTGTAGGCATTGTGACATCCAGCCACTGCCCCCAAAGCATGAAAGGAGCTGGCCTTTCCTGGACCCATGTCCACCATCCTGTCATCAGATACATTCTAGAATTCTATTGCTCCTACACAGGAATGAGGGGGACAAAGTATTCCATGTCAAAGGGGCATCACTCAGACTTGCTCACTGGGAAATGCAGTGACAGGAGAGATAGTAACTGGGCCCCTGAAATAATGAGGTGATGTTGACCTGAGCGGCTCTGATACTCCCCCAGTTCTGCCAGTTCTGACTGATGCCATTCTTGACATGTATTTTAGGCACTCTGTTTGTCTCAGGCTAATAAGGATCTGCAAAATGGTATTGCTGGAGGAAAGTTATATTTTAAATATTTAGTGTTTGTTCTCAAACTGTGTATTCAACCTAAGGGAACTGTGTTTCCTCGAGGCCTGGGGGCCTCACTCACTACCACCTGTCTGCACTAGATGTCAACCAGACTGTGCTAACCCCTGGCAGCTGCCACCTACTGCCTGCAGGATCCACAGGCCAGGTCTGAGCCATTCTAATCTTGACAGCTTCCTAGTCTCTTTTAAACTTGAAGCTTCTGCCCTTCTTAGGTTGAGGAATGGATTTCATTTTGCTTAAGGATGAATAAGTCATATCAGGGAAGTAAGCTGCGAGGAAAAGTGGACCCCTTATGTTTTTCGTCTTTTTCTTCCTTCCCCTGGATCCCCTTTGCTGTGTCTAACGAGCAGTGTCTTTGGGCCAATTATGGCATCTTCTGTTGGAAAGCGTCTGAGAATTTTTCAAAGTATTCCTCATTCTCTCTCCTATTCCCACCCCTGGCTAAGGGCAAGTTTCACACCTGCAATGTAATGTCCTGTTTGTGAACACAGTGGGAAGGGGGAAAGTAGGATTATTTCTTAGAGCCAATACTGCCTTCTTTTATAGCAGAGGTTTTCAAACAGTGTTTTCTAACTGTAATGTGAGGAAACGAAAAAGAGGTGGCTTATAATAAAATAACGTGAAGCTCAACTTGTAAATGCTGGGTAGTGAAGTACCCAGAGACTTGCACCTCGCTGTGTCCCAAGCACATGGTGCATGGCTGCTGCAAATGCAGTGGGCCTGACAGTGATGGACCTTCTCAGATGGTGACCGAGGTCCTAGAAAGTTTCAAAGAGGACGGAAGGATACCAGTCCTCCATTTTCATCACAACTGCAGTCCTGGGAAATTAGGTGGATTTTAGAACTATACAAAATATTCATATGTATGTAAAATGGAATTAGGTTCTAGTCTCAGGAGGTCACTGGAGAAATGGAACAGTTGTTCCTGGTCCCCAAAAGTCACGGAGAACTCTGAGTTCATTTACAAATTCTAAAATGCTTGGAAGGGCTATGGTCCTGATGCAGAGAACCTCTGGTGTGGAGCCTACCATAGAAATCAAGGTAAGGTGATAGGCCATGTGTTAGTTCTTCCAAGAAACAGAACCAATAGGTTGTCTATCTGTCTATCCTCTATCTATCTATCTATCTGTCTATCTTCTATCTATAGAAAGATTTATTTTAAGGAATTAGCTCACATGATATTGTGGGCTGGCAAATATGAAATCACAGGGTAGTGGCTGGAGACTCAGGAAGGAGCTGATGCTGCAGTTTTGAGTCCTAAGGCGGTTTGAGGCAGACTTCCCTCTTACTCATGGGACCTCAACTTTTTCTTATTAGATGGGCCCACTCACATTAAAAGAGCAATTTTCTTTACTCAAAGTCTGCTAATTTAAATGTTATTAATAAATTGAAAAATACCTTTACAACAGCATCTGAATTAGTGTTTGACCAAACAATTGGGTACCATAGCTGGCCACGTTGCCACATTAAATTAACTATCATAGCATATGACAAAGAAGTTGAAGAATTTTGTGTTTCTGTAATTGGAACTCAAAGGGTAGTCACTGTAAATATCTTTATGCGTTTTTCTTTGAAGCATAACCAGCGTGCAGCGTTCAGACAATGGGTCGTATATCTGTAAGATGAAAATAAACAATGAAGAGATTGTGTCTGACCCCATCTACATTGAGGTACAAGGTAAGTCCAGAGGGCAAGTCCTGGTGTCCCAGAACTGTTTGTTTTAAAGCCTGCCTTAGTGTGTAATAGTCTGGACTTTGGCCTGTCTGTTTATAACTCTGTATACAAACCTTGAAAATCTATCAACACTGAAATTTTACAAGGCAGTCCTCCTTGTAGACTGTAGATAATAATGAAATGAATTCAATACTTACAGTTTGAGCTCTATCCTAATTATTAGAGGTAAGATAAAGAGAGGTAGATTTCCTTATTCATTGGGGTTTTTTTTTTGGTTTTTTTTTTGCAGTTTTTGGCTGGGGCTGGGTTTGAATTTACCACCTCCAGTATATGGGGCCAGCGCCCTACTCCTTTGAGCCACAGGCACCACCCTGTCCACTGGGTTTTTTATAATAAAAATAAGCTGAAAACTTCTTTTTAGGAAGCAAAATGCATTGTTTTAATCCAGTTCCCAATGCTGAGACCAGATACCAGTCACTTGGTCAAGGGGCTATTGGATTTTTGTTCAGGACCTTTTCCTGTTTTGCCTGTGCAGATGGTGAAACACTGGAGGGTGAGTGGTTTTCCTGAACTGAGTCAACAGCTCAGCTGGAGACTCCTCTAGGTGCAAAGATCTCTGTCTGGTGCATGGTTCAGAGAAATTCCATGATATCACATGAGGGTCAGTGAGGGTGAGGAATGAGACATCGGGCTAGGATGGCCAGTCTCTGCCCTCAGGGACTTTAACTGTCATGGGGAATGTGAACTGATGTCCAGGTGAACCAGATCAGGTGAGCCCAGGTCCTGAGCTTGGTGCCCTGGGTCTAGGGGTTTATATGCCTGGTTCTGCGATGGCAGGGCCTATCCAGGGAGGCTGCAAGCAGGAGCACCTTTATTATCACCCCAAGTGGTTGCTCCCCTCCCCCCTTAGGGTCTGCTGTCCAAGGGCTCTGCATCTCTGCTCTCCAAGGCACCCCTGTTAGCAGAGCCATTGAATCATCTCTCTTTCTTACATTCTTTCACCCTCAACCACAAACATCTCCCACTAAACGGCTACCCTGCTACCCATTTTTTTGTGAGCCTGAACTTGATACCCAATAAAACAGGAGGCCTGAGAGAGGAAGAGGGAAAGGAGGAGGAGGCTTGTGGGAGTGAAACAGAGAAGGGGAAGAGATGAGGGCGGGAGGCCCCTCAGAGGAGGCTCTTTTAAACCTCCACATATCTCAGCATTCTGTCAACATCAGCCAGAGAGGATTTCTACATTTGCTGCTAATCTGAGGAAAATATTTGATGGATATTTTATGAAAAATGCCCAGAGGAGGAACATGTTAAATCTGAATGCAGGCTGGGGGTTGCTGGCTCACGCTTGTTTATGCCCGCACTCTGGGAGGCCAAGGCAGGTGGATTATTTGAGCTCAGGAGTTTGAAATCAGCCTGAGCAAGAGTAAGATCTTGTTTCTACTAAAAATAGAAAAACTGAGGCAAGAGGATCTCTTGAGCTTAGGAGTTTGAGGTTGCTGTAAACTATGAAGACGCCATGGCTCTCTACTCAGGACCACAGAGTAAGACTCTGTCTAAAAAAAAAAAAAAAATCCAAATGCAGTTTTGGAAAACCATGAAACAGGAAAAAGGAATCCCATTCCACACGACTCCCACATTATTCCTGCCAGAACTGGATTTGTGAGTTCTCAATGCCAGAAGAACACAATTAGCTTGGCTTGTTAAATTTTTGGCACAATAAGTACTGACTGTCTTTCTCTGAGATATTCTTAAACTTCCCTATAGCCCTGATTTTGGAATTACATTAGATTTTAGGATTGTAGCTGTTATCTATTTTCATGAGAATGTGCTTTGAAAAGCGTTCAGCCATGGGCGAAGCCTGTGGCTCAAAGAAGTAGGGCCCTGCCCAGTATACCAGAGGTGGTGGGTTCAAACCCAGCTCTGGCCAAAAACTGCAAAAAAAAAAAGAAAAGAAAACAGAAGTGTTCAGCTGTATACACGTGTAGGGATTTTAAAATTTATCATCACTCATCTGAGAGTCACATGCAATACATCATCCTTATGCCATGGGCAGGCCTACTATGTAGCTTTGTTTTCACTCTGGTTTTTTTTTTGTATTAGTTAAGAAATAGTAAAACCCTGCCAACCAAAACAGTCCCAGGAGGTTAAGCAACACCTGACTTAAGAGCTGTCTGTGGCCTCCCTTGGAGTAAAACCAGTTCTGAATCACTGTTTACAGCCAGTTTGGGAACAGTGTCCTAGAAAGCCAGCTTAAGGTAACTGGTAGAAGTCAAGCTCTGTACTTCATCTCACTCAACTTTAAAGAGGTGAAAAGCAGCCACGTCAGACCCAGCATAGTGCATAGTGTATAAAGGAATCTCCTGCTACCGAGTTCTAGCTCAGTTTGTTTTCCTCCGACTCTGCCTCTGCTGAAGGATCTGAAGCATTCTTTCCTTTAATGCTTTCTCTGCAGGACTTCCTTACTTTACTAAGCAGCCGGAGAGCATGAATGTCACCAGAAACACAGCCTTCAACCTCACCTGTCAGGCGGTGGGCCCGCCTGAGCCAGTTAACATTTTCTGGGTTCAAAACAGCAGCCGCATTAATGAACAGCCTGAAAAATCCCCCTCTGTTCTAATTGTTCCTGGTAAGTCCAAGCAGTGTGTTTATTTGTTTGTTTGTTTATTCTCTAACCGTGGAAGGGATAATAATGCAGGCACAGCAGCCGAGGTTATGGGGCTAGGTAGAGAGGAAGGTAGGTACAGGTGTGAGAACTCACAGGCCAGGGTTTGGAGGTGGGTGAGGGCCCTCCAAGAGTGCGTTTGGTGAAGTCAGTGAAGTGGCCAGAATCTCCCAGCCCCGGTAGAGAGAGTCCTGTTCACCTCTCGTGTTGCTGACCACTATGGCAGGTTCTGTGCTTACAGAACCACTGATGTGAAGGCCTCAGTGGGTTTGAAAGCAAGAAAGTGGACACAGGGACCTGTTGCAGGAAATTGGTAAGTCATTGTAGGAGTGTGGTTCAATGGACATTCCATGGTCTTCTTGATATCCATCTAAGTGAGAGTGCCCTGATGATGTTCTTGTCAACAGCACTGACATTCCCTGTGCCCCTAAAGCCTGTGGGTTCCCTTGTGTGGCTCCTCTGATTGTGTCTTTTAGCAGCCTCTGGCAAGGTTACCACACTCCCTCCCACCTTCCTTTCTCCATGCCTTCAGCAAACATTTTAGGAGGGACTAAACTCGAGCTGTTTCTCCCTATTCACTGGTCCTTGTTTGTTGCTAACAGGAGTTATGAATGGCAAGGTGCCCCGGTGCTCAGTCCTGAACCCCCTTATTTTCAGTTTGAAGTGCTCCCTGCCTGGAATGCCATCTGTATGATGATGACCTTGAACTTTACCTCTCCAGTCCAGACCTTTCTCCCAAGCCTTGGGCTCATGTATGCGGCTGCCTCCTTGGCACGTCCACTCGCTGGGTGTGTTGACTTTTTAAAATGAAACCCTCGATGCCACCACAGACAGGTCCCACCCCAGAATTCCCCATATTGGTGAGTGATAACACCATCTGCCCATCCTTCCTTTTTCTCATTTTTCATGTTGACTGCATCAGCAGTTTTGTCGGTTCTGCTTCTACAGCGGTCTGAAAGCTGTCATTTCTCTAGCTCTGCTGCTGGCACTCTGGTCCATGTGCCTGCCGGCTCTTACCAAGACCACTGCAGGAGCTTCCTAGCCCTACTCCCGTCTACCCTCCTCAGCAGCAGATTATATCACCTGCCTGCTGATTTAATCTTTCCATTGTCTCAGACCATCACCCAGAGTCCTCTTGCCCTTGCCCCTAGGGATTGCGGGTCTGGCCCCTGCCCAACTCTCCAACCTTATCCGACTCTGCTCCTTAAGCACCAGTCATAGTGACTGTCTGTCCTTTCTCCAAACACGGTATGTTTCTTCCTGCCTCAGGACCTTTGCACTGTCTCTTCTGTCTGTCTATAGTTTTTCCATCTGCTCCTTGTCCCAAAGAAGTATCACTTCTTCAGAGAGACCTTCCCTGACCAGCTCTTTATTGACTGCCAATCACATATTCTTATCTACTTCCTCCATTGCATTTGGCACTATCCGTAACTACCCTGTGATTTGTTTGATTTCCTTGTGTATTTTAGAGAGCTTTGTAAGGACAAAGACTTTGTGTTTCCTGTTCACTACTAGACACCCAGCCTCTAAAGCAATATCTGACTCATAGTAGTTTTCAGTCGATATTTATGGTGAGGATGGATAATAGTGTTCAGTCAATATTTATGGTGAGGATGGATCAACAAGTGAATGCCAGGCTTGGCGCCAGTAGCTCAGCAGCTAGGGCGCCAGCCACATGTACCGGAGCTGATGGGTTCACATCCAGCCTGGGCCTGCCAAACATCAATGACAACTACAACCAAAAACATAGCTGGGCGTTGTGGTGGGTGCCTATAGTCCCAACTACTTGGGAGGTTGAAGCAAGAGAATCGCTTAAACCCAAGAGTTGGAGGTTGCTGTGAGCTGTGACTCCATGGCACTGTACCAAGGGTGACATAGTAAGACTCTGTCTCAAGAAAAAAAAAAAAAATACAAGTGAATGCCAGCCCCTAGCTATTGTCTCCGAATCACTTTTCTAAACCTTACCTTTAGGAGGAATGTTATAGTTTTCTCTGCCATGATCTGAGTTTTCTTAATTTTTTTTCCACCTTTCATCTGAGTTTTCTTTGAGTTTCTCCAAGGAGTTGATAATTAAGTAACTTCTTGGTTCAAAATAAATGTCAAAGAATATACTCCAGCCTTTCTTTTTTTTTTTTTTGAGACAGAGCCTCAAGCTGTCCCCCTGGGTAGAGTGCTGTGGCATCACAGCTCACAGCAACCTCCTACTCCTGGGCTCAATCGAGTCTCCTACCTCAGCCTCCCAAGTAGCTGGGACCACAGGTGCTCACCACAACGCCTGGCTATTTTTTGGTTGCAGCCATCATTGTTGTTTGGTGGGCCGGGCTGGATTTGAACCTGCCACCTTAGGTGTATGGGGCTGGTGCCTTAGCCACTTGAGCCACAGGCGCCAAGACTCCAGCCTTTCTAGGACGATTGCTCTGAACTCCCATGAAGAAAAGTCTTTCTTCATTCAGGGAAAATTGGCGTACAATTAAATGCCTAGAACTTAGTTGTGCGACTCAATGAGTTTTCATAAGTGTAGACACCCATGTAACCACCACCTCACTCAAGTTGTAGAACATTGCCCTCACCTTGGAAAGTCCCTCATCGGCCCTTACGGTTGTCACCACCTTCCATCAGCAATACTATTCCAGTGTCTAGCATCACAGATTAATTTTGCCTATTCTTGAATTTCAGAAAATGGAATACAAAGTATATATACTTTTTTGTATCAGATTTTTATTTTTCTTCACTTAACATCCTTTTGAAATTCATCCATGTTGCTTTGTGCATGAGTAGTACATTGCTCTTTATTTTTGACACAGTGCTCTGTTGCATGAATTTGTTTATTTTGTTTGGTGAACATTTGGTGAACATTTGGGCTGTTTCTGGTTGTTGGCTATTATGAGTAAAGTAGCTGTGAATGTTTGCATGCAAGTGTTTTGGTGGATGTACATTTTTATTTAGTCTTGGATAAAAACCTAGGAGAGTGGTGGCACATCTCTGTAGTCTTTGCTACTTGGGAGGCTGAGGCAGGAGAATTGCTTAAGCCCAGGAGTATCAGACTGAAGTGAGCTATGAAGAGGCCACTGTATTCTCATCCCAGCAACAGAGCAAGACCCTGTCTTAGAAAAAAACCAGCTCCATGCTTGTAGCTCAAGTGGCTAAGGTGCCAGCCATATACACCAGAGCTGGTGGGTTCAAATCCAGCTTTAGGCCTGCGAAATAACAATGACAAATATAACCAAAAAATAGCTGGGCATTGTGGAGGGCGCCTGTAGTCCCAACTACTTTGGAGGCTGAGGCAGGAGAATCGCTTGAGCCCAAAAGTTGGAGGTTGCTGTGAGCTGTTATGCCATAGCACTCTACCCAGGGTGACAGCTTGAGACTCTGTTTCCAAAAAAAAAAAAAACCCCACAAAAACCTAGGAGGGGAATTGCTGGGTCTTATGGTAGGTATATGCTTAACTTTCCATTTTATTTCATTTTTTTGAGACAGAGTCACACTCCATTCTCTGGGTAGAGTGCTGTGGCATCATAGCTCACAGCAACCTCAAACACTTGGATTCAAGTGGTCCACTTTCCTCAGTCAACCAAGTAGCTGGGACTACAGATGCCCACCACAGTAGTCAGCTAATTTTTTTGTTTTTTAGTAGAGACAGGGTCTTGCTCTTGGTCAAGTTGGTATTGAACTCAGAGTTCAAGTGATCCATCTACCTCAGCCTCCCACAAAGCTAGGATTACAGGCATGAGCCACCTCACCGGGGCTATGCTTAAATTTTTTTTTTTTTTTTTTGAGATAGTCTCAAGCTGTAGCCCTGGGTAGAGTGCCATGGCGTCACAGCTTACAGCAACCTCAAACTCTCTTGGGCTTAAGTGATTCTCTTGCCTCGGCCTCCCAAGTAGCTGGGACTATAGGTGCCCACCACAATGCCCAGCTATTTTTGTTGTTGTTGTTGTTGTTGTTGCAGTCATCATTGTTTTAGCTGGCCCAGGCTGGGTTCGAACTCACTACCCTCGGTATATGTGGCCAACTTTCTGCTGACTGAACTACGAGCACTGCCTATTAATTTGGTTTTAATTTGCGTTTCATTTCTGTAATGCCTAATTTTAGATTAGATTTAGGAAAGATTTTCATGTCTTTTCATGTGCTGATTAACCAGTCATATGTTCTTTTTAGTATATATAGGGTGTCATGAAGTTCGTCTACAATTTAAAATAGACAATTATCTGTGTGTGTGTATATATATGTAAAATCAAAATTCTTAAAATCCATTTGTCTGTTTATGAACACTTAAGTTGTTTTTGTGTTCTGACTATTGTAAATAATCCTTCCATGAATGTGGGAGTACAGCTATCTTTTCAAGATACTGATTTTATTTTCTGTGGATATATGCCCAGTATGGGGATTGTAATTTTAATTATTTGAGGAAACTCCATACTGATTTCCTTAATGGCTGTGCCAAAATGCATTCCCACCATCAGTGTACCCATTATGTGCCAATAAATAGTAAACAAATGGAAAGTGACATCAAGTATGCTATTAGTATAGAGAAAATAGATTTTTTTTAATGTTGTATAGGAAAATATGTCCATCTCTGTTCATCTACAATTTTTCCTTTTTTATATATTTTCTCAGAAATTAGAAGTGTGTTTTTGTGAATTCTTTTAACACTTCAGGCTATAATTTGTCTCAGTTTCGAGATCTGGTTTATTTCTAAATGGTTTATTTCTTACCAACTACCAGATTTCGGATCTTAAGTTCCCTATGGGTGATGGGGGCAACAGTCTTGCTCTGTTGCCATAATAGCTCATTGCAGTCTCAAACTCCTGGTCTCAAGTGATCCTCTAGTCTCAACCACCCAAGTAGCGGGGACTACAGGTGCCCTCTACCATGCTCAACTGATTTTTAAAAAATTTCAGATTAATATGAGGGCACAAATGATATGGTTACATTGTTTACATTTCTTAGGTAAAGTTCAAGTT